CACCCTGCTACCGAGGGAATGAAAATTCATTTTATCACCAGTTTTTGGACTGTTCACATGGCTGAGCAGTCGCATTTGCTAAAATACGGAAATACATTTTAAACTAAATATAAGTTATCGAGTATATCTTCTCGCCTTTCAGCATATTCGAGTAGTAAGAAATCAGCCTGAGGGTTACCATCGGCCTGCGAATTGACTTATGGATCGTTTGTTCGTTTACTTTATTTTTATTAGGGGTGGGAGGAACTATGGCACCCAATGCTTTTTTCAAAATTGTTTTATTATATTTTAAAAAACCTTTATAAATTTCTTGTGTATTTATCATCATTTTGTTTGTTTTTGAAAATCCTATTTTGTCTTTTCAGTCGCGTCTCATTGTGAATAGTGCGCTTGCACTGAAGTTTTTTCCAGTACATTATTGTTTAGTTTCAACAAGCTGGTTAACAAACAGTTAAGCTAAGGCGTGCGCGCCTTACTGTTTGTTGTATCAATCATTTAGACACAAAGATATTTGATATAAATGTTTGAGTACAAGGGCAAATACTGGTTTTGTCATGCCTTAGAAAAGCTTTATAATGATCTCCTGGTAAATGCATGTTTCTAAAGGGGTTGAGGTCTATTGCATCCTTCCAAAATCATTTTGATATCATGCGTATCATTACGATGATGAAATCAATATTGCATATCTAAAATGCATGTTCCGGACGCTTTTTTTTTCAGTCGGTTGTTTCAACTAAATCGGGCATTGGGATATTTTAAATTTATCGATTTATATACATCCCAACAAAGAAAAAAGTCATGATTGCAGCCCTAAAAGGGTTGAAATCTAAAGGATGTTGTTTCAATACGTGTTTGACTTGCGGGAAATCGCATTAATGGAAAAGATCAACTTGCATATTGAAATTATACTTTTCCGTGCAAACAGAAATTATCATGTTCGTCGCAAAGGTTGATCAGTGATAAATATCACCGAATGACGCCGATGGCGTGATTCGTATTAAAATTTAATGGTCTTACAGCATGTAAAACTGCACTTTATTTGAGAAAAATACATGTTATTGGTAATCAGCCACATAGTAATACTTGGCGCAGGCAAATAACTGCATATATCATATTTATACAAGACCGATATACAAGTAGTTCTATTGTCTCTGACAGTACTTATTGGCTTTCCTATGTTATTATGCTATTTATTTAGTCAGACGTGTTCTCATACATGTCATTGACTAACATGCTGTAAGACCATTAAATTTTAATATGAATCACGCCATCGGCGTCATTCGGTGATATTTATCAGTCTTAATGTATTCAGAACAGCCGAGTGAATACAAATCCAGGGCCCAGTTTTATAAAGGACGTTTAGCACTAACCAGTGTTTAACTCTAACCAGTGGATAAATTCCCCTAACACCCATTAACTAAAAGATGGTTAAAATGTGTTTTATGTACAGTCTTCTGACGGAAAACAGCCAATTAGTTAACTGGCCAGTGTTTAACTGGATTAAATAATTATTTAAAGGTCAGTTTACTAACAGACTATTAGTCTGGTTAGAGTTAAACACTGGTTAGTGCTAAACGTCCTTTATAAAACTGGGCCCTGGTTTGTACTCATTTAATCTGCTTCTCCGTATTTGAACCACCCTATTATGTTCAGACCTTTGATGTGACTTACGTTTGAAAAATGCTCGCTGAATCACAGCAGTTGCTACAAGAACACCGTTAAGATGCAAGAATCAACCTGATGGTAACGCTATAAAATGTCCCTTGGCTTGTTGTGTCAATCAATCAATTTAATCATATGAGGTGACATAGGATCCTATAGACGTTTTAAAAATTTCTTATAAGGGCCTATATAGGGCCATTAATATAGGCATATTTTGTATATAAAAGAGGTAATGGCACAAAATTAGCTCTAACATGTGTGTGCAAACGTATATTATTTGAACATCTGAGTTTACGAGCGTCGTATTAAAAAAAAAAAAAAAAACACTACTAACAATGTACCACCTATCAATTTCTCTTTCTGCGACATTAAGACCTAAAATAATGCAAATACATTATATAGCATAATAACATATGAAAGCCAATAAGTACTGCCAGAGACAATAGAACTACATGTATATCGGTCTTGTATAAATATGATATATATATAGTTATTTGCCTTCGCCAAGTATTTCTATGTGGCTGATTACCAATAATGATAACAGTGGCCCATGAAAGACTATTCATGGAAAATGAGATGGATTGTATTTCCTTGTGTTAAATCTTATTAAATGGAAAAGTAGATATAACGTTCTTTTATCTACTTGGCATTTCTGTGCACCACTAGACGGCGACAGACCCGCGTAGCGATAGCGATAACCACTCGCTACTTCTAATTATGGTATTGAAAGTGAGAATAGTCGAACAAACTCCGTGCCGATCCTTCATTAGATGACCAAGATTCCGTTAAACCGCACTGTTTTTTATCAATGTTTAAGATCTAAGATGGATTTTAGAAAGTCAAATTTTGACTTGAAATCATTAAGAAACACACTGATCAACCTTTGCGACGAACATGATAATTTCTGTTTGCATGGAAAAGTGTAATTTCAATATGCAAGCTGTCTTTTTCCATTAATGCGATCACCCGCAAGTCAAATACGTATTGAAACAACATCCTCTAGATTTCATTCCTTTAAGGGCTGCAATCATGACTTTTTCTTTGTGGGGATGTGTTTAAATCGATAAATTTAAAATATCCCAATGCCCGATTTAGTTGAAACAACCGACTGAAAAAAAAAAAAAAAAAAAAAAACATCCGAAACATGAATTTTAGATATACAATATTGATTTCGTCATCGTAATGATACGAATGGCATTAAAACGATTTTGGGAGGATGCAATAGACCTCAACCCCTTTAGAAACATGCATTTAACAGGAGAGCATTATAAAGTTTTTATAAGGCATGCAGTGGACAAAACCAGTATTTGTCCTTATACTCAAACATTTATATCAAATATCTTTGTGTCTAAATGATTTATACAACAAACAGTAAGGCGCGCACGGCGTCCAAGCCTTTGCTTAACTGTTTGTTTACCAGCTTGTTGAAACAACACAATAATGAACTGGAAAAAAACTGCAGGGCAAGCGCACTATAAACAATGATACGCGACTGAAAATAAAAAAGACAAGATAGGATTTTTAAAAACAAACAAAATGATGATAAATACACAAGAAATATATGAAGGGTTTTTTAAAATGTAAAAAAAAAACAATTTTTAAAAAAGCATTGGGAGCAATAGATCCTCCCACCCCTAATAAAAATGAAGTTAAGGAACAAACGATCCAAACGTCAATCCGCAGGCCGATGGTAACCCTCAGGCTGATTTCTTACTACTCAAATATGCTGAAGGGCGAGAATATATACTCGATAGCTTATGTAGTATAAAATGTATTTCCGTAATTTAGCAAATGCTACTGCTCAGCCATGTGAACAGTCCAAAAACTGGTGAAAACAAATTTCCATTCCCTCGGTAGCAGGGTGCTTGTGAAATTTTCATAATGCAGACTGTGGGTGATCCCTATCAGACGCGTTCAACCAAAACCGGTCGGTTTACGGCTTCACAGAACAAATTTGAAAATATAGTTGCTTTGTGCAATTAGTTAAACATATTGACGCAAAGCCATTTTCTACCTATTTTATCAAAGTTTACTTTCTTCATTTACTTAAATGCTATAAAAATCAACTTACGGGAGACCGGGCTAGTTTGATCCCCAGGGTAAGTAAGCCACTCGTCAATTAATGGGAAAAACTACGTGGTAACAAAACAAGTATCACATTATCTTGCAAAGTGATCATATCCAACGAGGCCAAGAAAGTTTCGGCAGTAAAAAAGTTTCTCTAGTGCGGCGTCTCCAAAGAAAATAATTAATTCTGCATTTAAAAGTAACTTTTTTAAATTGCTTAAAAATTCCATTACATAGGTTTGTGATCGAATGAGGTTTGCTTACAGGGCATCAAAATAAAGCTATTGATTCAGATTTCACAGAAATGTCTTATCGTACAATATAGTCCATTTAAGAACCAAAAACGGCTGGAAACCTTTGAGAGCGGGCACTTAGCTCGGGGCAGGTTGAAACCTCATATAGTCCACAACATTTTGCGTGCAGCAGAGCTACATGTATATATAGTTTATTGTTAAAAGTCAAGGTTTTGTGAAATAACTGGCTATTTAAGATTGAAATTCTAATTTACTTTTAAAACAAGTTTATTATTCGTTATCATTCATTAAAAATCTGTTTTATACCTTCTTAAGTTCATTTTAAAATTTAAAAAGTTTTGTTCATCGATATTTGGGCAGTTATATTGTATTCTAACTTAATAATGAAGGTAACGTCAGCTCTGCATCATTTGAAGTACTTATTTAGCATATACTCTTAAACTGAATTTAATAAAATGAAAATGTGTAAAAAAAACATGAAATGGGGATGACATGGAATACTAAATGCAATAGTTTCATTATATCAATTTGTAGAAATGATTTAACTTTCACCTGGTTTATTATTTTTTCAATTTTTTCCTTGCGTAATAGTTAATACATACCGGGGTATATTGGTCCTTGTTATCTTGTATGCGCCAAAAAAAAAATATATATATATAAAATAAAAAAAAAAATAAATAAAGAAAGAAAGAAAGAAAGAAAGAAAGAAAGAAAAAAAGGCACCAATGCCAGAAAAGCATATTTATTGTTTGCCTCTACAATACGGTTTAGTACAGCTTGATGCATGTTCAGTTCACGTTTCAGCTTAAGTTGCATGAGAAAGAGAAGCACTTAGTCTTTGGGTTTTCTTGAAAGGTGTATAATCACGTGGCGGCCACATGATATTTGTCCACGTGATACGGAAATGGTTATAGCGTGATTTTTGAAGAGTTCGTCTATATCAAACTTTCCGTAAATTTAGGAGATTCACTTTATTCTGCAATTGTATCTGCCTCAAAAACAAAGTGTATTGAAATATTAACAAGGCGAAGCAGCATATGTCGCGACCATGAAGTTAGTCTTGGTGACAGTATTCCAGGATATAATACTTCCCTCGTTACCATTGGCGCATACGAACAGGCCGGGAATGTCCACAGGCTCCCTGTTCCAGACATTGATGCCGCCGACATATCCAACGAATGACGGATACTTAGGATACCCTTCAGTTACTGCCTCCAAATGGGTGTGTCCAACAACCCAATCACCACCTGAAATTATAAAATGGAAAAATAATTTTCATTTGACTTGTCATTTCACTTTGTTAACCAATGTTTCAATGTTTGCAATGGATTAGTGTTAAGGACGTTAAAGCATAGGCCTAATGATATGTAGTCATGCTCTTGAAAGAACTGAACCACTTACATGAAATCAAAACCAGTTATTGATACTGTATTACACTCATAGCGAAAATTAAGTCTTTATTTTTCAGATGCCATGTCTCTGGCCTTACCTCCAGCTATGTGCGAAACATTCACAGGAAAACTCAGCGTGAGGAAACCATCCCTATAGACATCTATCTTTCTCTTGACACCACTCCACATGACACACAAGAAATGCCAATTTCCGTCCGCTGGTAGAGGCGCCTCGCCACCGTAATACCCGCCCAACACGCTCATCCCATTTAAAATGACAGAGTACCCATGACCATGAGGACTGTAGGAAATCTCAATACTCCGGGGGTGGCGTTTAGAGCCGTAGGAGAGAATGGGGCCGCTTGTGGTACGGATGGTTTTGATCCAGGCACAGGCCGTGAAAGTGTCCAAATCGGGGGTTTTTGTCTCCAATAGTGACCAAGACAACCTGTTAGCTGGTTCTGGGAAGTGTAGAAACCTACGGCCAGCTGCAAGTATAACACATATAATAACTTAAGAAAAGACCCAAAGAAAAGTCACACATACTGGCAGCATTGGAATCAGTCAGCCCGGTATATATATATACGCATATACGCACAACACCATTTACGAGAGTGCGGAATTTTTGGAAAACAAACGCACGCACACCTATTCACTCGAAAGTTCCATGTCACATGCAAGAGGATTATAAACTACCTGTTGAATATTGCCCATACCGTCATGATCATTGCCATTGATATAATACAGACGCCGGTAACTTGGTAAAGTAAGAAATAAACGAAATATTTCAGTCAGCTGTCTGACCAATGCTTGGTACTGATTCATGTCAGATAAATCAATAGTAGTTCAATCAAATACAATAAGTATTAATCTGAAGCATTATCTATGCATTAACCTGACATTAAACAGTAACATTTCGTTTAACTGGACTACCACTGCTTTATTTTTGGGTATAATTAGAATTAATTTTATTTTTTGTCTAAAATAATTCTAAAGATTAAAAAAAAAAAAAACAGTGTTTCCCAGCCCATCCCACTCTTCCCTACCTGTTTCTCTGTAGAAACAAAACGTCAAAACCAACGCTACAAGTAGAGTTTGTCCAAACATGGTGGTGGCTCTCTGAAAGGAAAAGAACAGTTGGCATCTCCTTATATGATGTTGAATATTAGATTCTCGATAACATGAGGGATAACCTTTATGTAAATTGAGTTATATCATACATACCATCTTTGTCGTGGTCGTGGTCGTTTAAGTAAAATTCAGTATGACATG